AAATTTAACAATAGAATAAATACACTATTCAACAAATTTAACTTCCAAATTCTGGATAAAAGTTTTCTATATAGAGCATAAAGAACTTTGCAGGACAATTTTAGCATGAAAGTTATGTCAAAGAGCTTACCACATTGATTTATGATCTTATGCCATAGTGACTTAAGAGGCAAACTTCAACCGTAAATGCATGACTGCAATTTTCACAAATCTGGATTTAAAACTTAAGTGGTCTAAAACAGTTATTGTTTAGCAGTATGAATAATTTCATCACACTTTACGATAATTTCAGTAACGTTATTCGGTTTTGCTTCAGCAAAATGTTCAATAAAAATACCACTTTCCACAAAACTATGGTATGTTCTGATAAAACAAATACCACGCACATAAAGAGACTTTTCAAATAAATATCTAAGACAAACTAACTCATACTACATTGGTCAAAATAAAAGAAGAAAATAAGCGTGGAGGCAATTAGGAGAAGACCAATTCACCCACTGATAAGTTTCAAGTCTGGACCAGCCAAACCAACATTTTCCTAGCATCTATTCTAAACATTTCAGGCTAACCAACAGTTTCATAATTGAGTGAAGTCACTCAATCTATATGTATTCAGTTTTTGCCAACAACATAAATGAGATCAGCCCAAACATCAATAAGACGTAGTGACACACTTCTATGAACATCACAGGAAAGAAAAAAAATACGTGTACCCTAGTGAGCAAATTGCAAGGAATGAAATAACTTACATCAAACAATAAAAATATGAAAGGGGCATAAGAGAAAACAAGGTGTGATGATGTAAAACTACTACAAATCTAAGATAAATTTAACTGTAGGCTGTTGTACTGGATTCATTCAAACATCTGCACCATTAATCTCACACAACCTTGCTGAACCTATAATGCTGGAGCACAAAGCAAAAACCACAAAGCACAGTGCACAAGTTCCTTTAAAAACAAATGAGGGAGTTTCAACTTTGGCAAATACATTACCTAAGGAGAGAAGATATAATTACACACATATAAGCTGATGTAACCAGCACCAAACTTACAAAGTCATGATCACACAATCTTCAACAGGGTCATTAATTGGAATTCACTATCATGAATGCAAAAGCTGGCGTTATAACTAGAACCTAAGTTTCCGTTTATAAAATAAAATGGCATCACAAACGTCCTGGTTGAAAAGTGACTAGCAGCAAAAAACTTGAAAACCAATGATTGGATGATGAGGACACTTTCTACAGATGACAACTACAAGTAAAAGTAAAAAACTCTCGTTGCAAATAATTTAAGACCAGAGGCTACACACCTTCGAGCGCAAGTTCATTTGAAGTTCCTGGGTTACAAATAATAATTGGTAACTCACAATGATGAACAATTTCCAACACATTAAGTAAAAATAATTGACCTAAAATTCATAATGTGAAACCTGTTAACATGGTGTTGAAGAGAAAAAAGATACAACCAGAATTTTGTGAAGTTAAAATTTAACACAGAACTTAAATAATCAAGAGCTCAGAAAAGATGAGAAACAAATCAGTGAGACAAGTATAGCTGAACACAAGTTATAGCTTGGTGCTCACAATCTTAAACTGTCTACAATAGAACAAATTTTAAGATCTAACACCAACTTTTGACAATTTTTTAATTATAATCCAAAATAACTACAAACTGTAAATGATGCACACAAAAGAATGACCATGAGAACGAGGACCAGCCAAACTGGCATAGTTTCTGAAAAGGGGAAAAACAATCAGAAATACACATTTGTGGAGTGACACTCATTAAATTGAAATAAGAAATCAAATTTTAATTACTCACGTCTGAATGGAACTTGATGGATGCAAACTCGATTGTCAACAGAAATGCTAACCACTGCAGCCTCATAAGGACAAGTGATTGCTGGTCCATCCAGGGATGTTGGTAGAAATTCAAGACCAGTAACAAACATTCCATGCGCATTACGGACATTCATGATCCTCTATAAATAAATCACATGTGAGAAGTGAAAGTAATGTTGAAGCAACTGATATGAGATTAAAGACAAGAGTAACAAACCTGAAGACTAAATGCCACGTGAATAGATACACTTCCACTGAACATTGTGCCAACAGCAACAAACATTCCATCATCACGAACAGCAAGTGCTGCAAGGCTCTCATCAAATGCGTGATTTCTGCGGAGTTTTCCACTTGCTGGTTCCCACATCTGTAGATATGATTTTAGATTACCAGCACGGCCCACTGGGTTGGCCAAAGTAAAGAGTGAATCAAAATCTGTGCCATTGCCTCTAATACCAAAGCTGAAAAAAATAAAATGGGGAGTCATAGACTGCACTGAGAACATGATATATGACCACTGAATAAAGTCCACTGAACATACCGGCATCTTTTGTAAAGATATTTAGAATTGGCAGGGATTTCCCATGTTAAAGTGGAGGTCTTTTTACCAGTTTTACTATTCCACAAGCAGCAAGCCCCATCTTTTGATATGCTGGCTATCTAAAAATGTTTTTATTTTTTAATAATTTTTATGCAAATAGGGCACAAACAAAATCAATAAGGAAAAGTCACTTACTGTTGCAGAGTCAGGACAAATATCAAGATCGTCAATTTCTTTAGTGTGAGCCTTAATATTGAGCAATTTATTCATGGTTGGAAACTGCCAAACTCTGATAAATCCATCAGTCCCTCCTGTGACCATGATTTCACCATTACGACTGATGCGAACGACCTTTTGAAGAGGTTCCTCTTTACTGTTAGGGAAAAGGTTTTGTTACTTTCAGAAATAAGATGCATAGCTAATCACAGTGATATTCAACAATAGTATTCTGACCTAAAATCTGTTTGAATGCTATCTGATGGTTTAATTTCAAAATGTAGTCTTTTTTGTACTTTGTTGACACCATTGCTTGTAACTTTATCTTTCTGTTTTTCACTTTTGTTTGAAGAGGTTTTATCAGAAGTTTCACTTGTTGAATTTCGTTTCTTGCGCTGCCTGGTCTGATTATCATTTGATTGAGCTGTAAACATTAATGGAAAATATTTCAAACAATTTAAACAATCAGTTAGTAGCTGCTTTATAACAGCAAGCCAACAAAGGGTACTAAGAACTCCTATGTACCTTCTTTCTGGTCAGCACTAGATATACTGTTGCGCTTTTCATTTTCCACAGACAATCGGACATGGTAGAGCTGGCAATGGCTTTCCTGGCCAGCAACTAGAAAAGTTCGCTTTCCATCATTATAGGTAGCTGAGTTCATAACCACCGTTGGCCCAGTTTCATGTCGTACTGCTTCCTCGGCAACAAAAGTCTCTCCATTGTGAGAGATCTCAAATATTTCCTGGAATGAAAGAATAAGTCAAAAGATGAACAAAGATCACTTGCAGTCTCAATCATTGCATTTGACCATGATTTGGCGTAAAAATCAAATACTATTCAAAATTGTGTCAAACGATTGACAACTGGTTAAGGTGCGAGAGAAAGGGTGCATCAAGGGAAGGGCCCAGTCAAATGAGCCCTATTAATGTTTAAAAATAGGTTGAAACAGGTTGTCAAGGTTGACAGAGGCACAGCAGAAGTGACGCTAGGTTATGGGGAGGGGGTTACTTGACACCTGTCAACTGACGGTCGGGGAACAACTACATTTCTGGTGAAATAAACAGAATGTACGCCACTCTTTTCGCACATCCGAGCCAGCAATAAACCTCGAGATACACGACTTGATTTCGTCGTGAACTTGACACTTACGAAACCGTTCGCCACTCCAGTTTTAGACGAGCCGCCGCCTCCCCCGACCAAAATATGCCTGCTCGTCACCATTTGCAGGGTGTAGAGCGGAAAGTTGACCCTCGCGAGAAGTCCATCGTTGTTTCTTGTTGGGGCCATAATTCCTCGGGGAAAATATTGACTGTTTACCACCGAGGGTACCAGCTGCCAGTCGCAGCAGCGCACAGCACTGAAGTGGCAGCACTGGCACTATGATGAGGCGAACTCCGTCATCTTTTTTCCAGCGAAGCAAGCGGTTCGCGTCGAAGTTCTCAGAAAAAAACGAAGAGTCTGATAAGAGGAAGCGAGCCGAACCCACCGTCAGCGTCGAATGTCACTGTTAAAGCGACTGGGGCCCGGTCTGGCGCGATCCAGTGGCGCTCTGACAGCAGACGAGGTCAGGGTGAGGTGGTCAGCCTGGCCCTGCAGAGTCAGCGAGTCCACGTCGATCGGGGCGTTTTGGACCTTGCTCGGAAGGCGGCGGCCTGCGTCCGGGAGGGAAAATACAAACACGACCGCGGCTCAAACCACACTGACTTGTAGAGCTCAGAGGTTCGAGTCCGACGGGCATCAGAAAAGTGATTTACTTACACTTTTCTTACACTTTCCTCTGGAGTGATTTCCCACTCGTTTATGAACTCAGCCTTTCCACCTGGCATATGCCGTCAACCTGCTGGGGGCAAATCACCTCCATGCTTTCAAGAGCATCTGTTCGCATCCCTTCCACTCGATTTCGATGTCGAACAGAACAAGTAAGTCCCTTTCACGCATAATGCTCCTCGGGCTGGAAGCCCTGGAAAGTGGCGTTATTTTCAGGAGAATTTCGGGAAATTTTCGAGAATTACTTGTTCTGTTCGACATCGAAATCGAGTGGAAGGGATGCGAACAGAGGAGAGGGGAAATTGGAGGGGGCGGGGGGTAAAGTGAAGAGACCCAAAGATCCAGGGCCCCAAGAAGGGAGGACTCGGTCTGGTGCGGCCGTGCGCTATGGCGTGCGCAGTCACGTCAGACCATGTGGGTGCGAGAGAGACGGAGTGCAAAGTCTGTCTCTGTCGCACTCACAGAGACCTGAGCGGGGGGGCTCACCGCTCGACACCGGTGCACGGGGCAGCTCGCCGAGACCAGCACGCAGTACCCGCTGGCACCTCGCGGACGCAAGCCGCAAGCCGCCAACGCATCCGACCAGCGCCATGTTCCCGCTGCTGGTACGTGTCCGTCCACGGCGTCCGCGGCACTACCCTGATGGCGGTTCGAGCCGACCTCGAACCGACGCCCTCCACGCCGGACATCGCTGCCGCAGCACGGGACTACTTAGCGGCTCTCTCAGAGGTCAGTTCTCTCATCTTCTTCTGGCCCTTGCGCAGGTGGCCGTGCTGCTCGCCGCGCCGCGATCCTCGCGCTCGCAGGACCCCTCCGCACTGCTTCGGCACCGCCCCGGGCCGACGGCATCCTGGCCCGCGCAGCAGGCCGAGTGGGACCCGGGGCCTGGGGGCCGACAGGAGGACGACGCCGTCGACCGGGCGTGGACGGCCACCCCTGTGGACAGCGCGGCAGAGTCGGGCGGGCGGGAGGCAGGCCGTCAGCTGGACGAGACAGCAGACCGTGATCCTGGCACGGAAACATCTGAGGACGACGACGTCGGTGAAAAGGGAGAGGGGCAGGCAGTCCAGGATGACGACGACGATGACGACGGGCAGCAGCCGGGGGAGCAGCGGGCTCTGGACATACCGGTACGGACATCCTGACGGCGGAGTGTGGTGCTGCAGAGCAAAACCGTCACTAGTTGTTTCTCCACGTTTGTCGTGCAGCTGACCGCGGGGGACTCGGAGGCGACGGCGTCCGAGATGCTACCGGTGCCGGCGCCGCTGTCCATGGGCGGGCGCGGGCCCCCCATGACGCTGAGCCTCGAGGACATGGACTACCTCACGATCCTGAGGCCACCGCAGCCGCCCAGGAGGGCTGGCGGCGCCAAGCACAACAAGCGCAAGTCCAACAACAACAGCAACAAGAACACCAAGGCCGGCGTCAAGCACGCCACCAAGACCAAGCCGGGCGGCGGCAAGGGGCGGCCCAAGGCGCCGCCCCAGCAGCCGCCCGCCGCGTCCACGTCGTACGGGCCGCCGCCGCCGCCCCCGGCCGCGCCCCCTCCCGACTCGTACGCCGGCTTCCTGGGCTACGACGCCCCGCCGCCGTACGGCTACGGCTTCGGCCCGTACCCGCGGTACCCGGATCCCGTCATGACCCTCGAGTACCAGCAGGTGAGCACTACCGCGTCGTTTTGCTTGTTTGTTTTCTGTCCAATTGTTTCTGATTTTTGCTCGTTGTCTTCTTCCAAATTTTCTGATCGTTTAAAATGGCGTTCACCGATTTATCTGAGTGTCGGACTTCCTGAGGCCACCCCCATCCTGACGGCGCCCCATGTGTCCGCAGGCTACGTCGTACCCCGAGGAGGAGCGCTTCAGGCCGCTGCCGCCGCTCAAGGGCCCCGCCCCGATGGCGCCCGCCCCCATGACCTCGCCGGCGGCCCCGGCCCCCCCGGTGGCCGGCACCTCGCCGTCGTTGTTGTCGACGTCGCCGCTGGCCCCCACGGGCGCGCCCACCACGTACCCGTACATGGCCTACCACCACCGGGACTACACGTCCGCCAGCTCCGGCACGGGCGCGGGCGCGCCCCAGGACCAGAAGGCCGCTGGCGCGGTGCAGGTGAGGACCACGACGACCCCCCTCCCTCCCTCCCTCCCACCTCCGGTGTCGCCACCCCTTTCTCTTTCTTGATGCGGCCGTCACAGAAACGTCATGGAGCAAACGCGAGCCGTATCCCACGAGGGCCTCGCGCTCGCGCTCATCACGCCACGCTCGTAAGCGCAGAGTAGCTCGTGCCACGCTCAAGCCACTCTCGTGCAACGCTCACGCCACTGGCATGGGCGTGGCGTGAGCGGAATCTCGCTTTCGGGTCGTCGCGGGGTCGTCAAAGGCATGATATCGCGAATATATTTTTAGCAGATGATAACTTAAAAAAACTTTTGACTATTTTTTGATATATTTTTTGGAGGGGGGGGGGGGCTTTACTAGAGTTGGAAATTTCCAAAATTTTCTGGAAAATTTCTGAAAACTTTCCGAAAATATACGAAAAATAACGAAAAACTTTCCAAAATCTGGGAAATTTTTCTCATTTTTCCCGGATATTTTCCAGAAATTTTCCGGAAACTTTCCAGGGTTTCCAACCCTATGCTTTACCCCTTTTCCTTTCCGGATGGGCTTAAAGAAAGGGTCTCTTGCTGAGGCGACTTGCTGCCCGTCCAATCTGCGCTGGCGTGGCGTGGCGTGGCACGCTCGGCACGCTCAAGAGGCCAAGCGTGACGCCACGGCGCGCCGTACGCCCGCGCGCACGGCCAGAGAGCCGTCGTCGTGGCGCGCATATACTTCTATTTAAAAGAGGTCGAACACAAGCGGATTACATGAGGGGTGGGCGCGCGGCGGTGGTACTGTTTCATTTTATATTTTCCCGCTCACCCGCGCACAAAAATTAACCACAATTACGATAGTTTGAGCGTCCAGCCAGCAAAACGGGCGAAACTTAGAGAGGCGCCCCCCCCTTTCTCTGCCATCCGCAGAGCAGAAACTAGCCCGTGTGCTGCGCGCAGGAGCATAAAAAACTCACGTGAGCTAGCAACTTTAGTGTTCAATAACGGTGATGAGAGAAGATGTGCTACAGTGACGCTAAAAATGTACTGCTGCTCGCTGTGTGGGCGGCCTTAGAGAAGAGCAGAGAGGAGCAGGGTGGGCTCTCTAGAGCCCTGCTGCTGCTGCTGCTGCTACTGCTGCTGCTGTCGCTCCGTGGGGGGGAAAGTTAGTTTGCGTCGCGGTCCTGACGGGCTCCTCTGACGGGTCCTCTGACGGTCCTGACGTGATACCCGTAATTATTCCGCCCTACCATATCGCTCGCTATACTCCCCCCCGTAATCACAATGCTCGCGCATGTGGAGCCAGTTTTCCCTCCCTCCGAAAATTTTCGTCGTTCAGCTCAGCCGGGCGTGGGAGTGGCAGTGTGCAGCCGCTGCTCTTTGACTAGAAAGGGAAAACGGAGCGGAGTAGAAGTAGTTTCATTTTTTATCATTTGTTTATAAAATATAACTATTTTTTTTTTGTTAAAAAAATAGAAAAAATACGCGGAGAGAAAAATACTTTCCTTGAAAATAAAAATAATAGTTGGGTTTTTGTTGATGTTGGGACTGAGAAGCTTGTGATAGTCGGGCCGGGGGGGATGCTCGGCGCCTGCGCGGGTAGGCAACACGACGAGTGGCGAGCACCCGCGTCAAGGCGCTGCCTACCCTACAGGCGCTCCTGACCGCGATGTCCGTGTCCAGGTGTCGCAGAGCGTGTCGGCCGGCGAGCACCACTCCACGTACGGCGGCTGGCCCAGCAGCGCCCCGGGGGCGCCCTCCTCCTCCTCGGCGGCGACCAGCAGCAGCGCCTCCGCGGCGGCCGCGGCCCTCGGCACTGGCCTCGCGCCCGCCGACGCGGCCGCCGCCCGGAAGGCCACGCTCAAGGACATCCTCGCCCAGGACTGCCCCGGCGCCGAGGAGCTGGGCTACTGCGACTCACCACCGCGGTACCCCATGTACGTACTCTGATACATCCAGCTTTGTGGGTGGACGAGGTGGGTACTTTATTCTCGGCGCTTTATCTTTGAAGTCATGGGGTACATTCGTCATGACACTCTATTTGAAGTCGAGGGTTGTCGTCTCGAATGCCATGGTAAAAGGCGTGTCCTCGCAAATAAGAATTTCCCGAGTAGGGTAATTTTATTTTAACGTCGAAAAAAAAAAAAGCTAAATGTTAGCTCCGAGCTAGCTGGGTTGAAATAAAAAGCCGCTAAACAAGTACCTTACCCCCTGCTCGGAGTCGAGAGGAAGAAAAGGAGACGGCTGAGAGCTGCAGGTGACCTGACGCCACCCTCTCCCTTCAACTCCAGGCAGCAGGTGTCCGAGGCCATCGAGCGGTGCTCCGAGCTGCTGGACCACATGTACGCACCGCCGCCCGAGGATCGCGAGGCCGAGGGCGATACGGAGGTGAGTTCCGAGCCGTGGCCATAGTAGACTACTACCCCATGGTGTGGTACTTTTTTGACACAGCATTCTGAACCATTGGGCTGAGGGACGTTTGTTACAAATTTAATATTTTCCCGGGTGTGGTAACTTTATCACGGCGTCTGAACCCGGCGGTGGACAACAATTCCCACCATGAACTATATTTACTATAGGGGGGTCCAAATATTATGCGGTTCCCAAAAGATAAGGACGTTCTCGTTCATTGGAGTCCATGGAGGCCCCATTATGCGTGGACCCCGGGATTCAAATACGAGGTCCCTGTGTACTCCACTGACCATCCTGATCCATTTTTGGGACCCCATAATATTTGTACCCCCCTCCTTACAAAAAAAAAAGTTCCGTCAAAGCACGGATCGTGGAAGCAGATGATACGTATGTAATGATCAAGCCTTGCATTATATTATTTCAGTACAGGATGTGGAGGTTTCAAAGATCTAACACCCACATTTTCAGAATTTTGTTGCTATCTATACCGCTATTTATATCATACAAGTTTTCCATTGGCGTTTTATTCTCCTTCAGCGCTTGGAATAGCATGATATGATAGCGTCCGGGCCGGGCGGCGGCCGAGCCGGACCGGGCCGGGTTCGGAGCTGCGCTTCGAGCCGAGCGCCGGCCGAGCCGAGTCGGGCGG